CCTTTACACTGCAGCACGGTCAAATACTTGGCAAAACAGAGGCCTTGCTTATTCTGTCCAGCAGTTCCCATGCACCCTGCAATACCTTGCCTGAAGTCACTGTTGGAAGGCTCAGGTGGCTTGTATCTGAGTGCTGAAGCCAAAGCATTGTGGCCATGCTTATTGCCCCCATATTTAGGGCTGTCCGTATGATCCCCTCCTGATCAGCCCTTGCTGTGATGGGCATAAGAACATATGAAGAGCCCTGCTGGGTCAGATCAAGAGTCCAGCCAATCCAGCATTTTGTTCAGCAGTGGCCACCCACAAGCAGGACGTGAATGGAACAGCAGCTGCTGTATCTGCACCTACTGCCTCTGATAGGACTAGTCGCACCTATAACCTTTTGTCTAGGAATTTGACCAGTCCCCTTTTAAGGACATCCAGATTGCACTGCGTCTTGTGGAAAGGGATTCCGTCGCTTAACGACATGCTACGAGAAGAAGCACTTCTATTTATCTGTCCTCAGTCTCACACCAATCAACTTCACGGGCTGACTCCGCTGCATTCTAGTGCTATGGGAGGGCCGCAGGTGGTGAAGCACCTGTGACTCAAAAGTGAGCCGATATGGGGAATCGGATACCACAGAAATAATCAGACCCCCACAGTCGGGCAGGCTGGTGGGCAGAATGCCTTGCAGACATCCAGAGCTCCAGCCTTGATTTGCCCCTGCCCCCAGCATCACCCCTGCATGCGGCTCTAAACTCCAGGCTAACACGAGGGAAAGACACTCACATGGAGACCATGAAGGGAACCAGTTCTGTAGGCCAGTATAGGAGGTGAGTTGGTATTTGTGTGTTTGACTAGACTGGAAAGGCTGCAACAGAGGGAAGAGCTAAGGATATTCAGGGACTGCTTATATTACATCATATAACCTTTCATAAATATCCTGTTCAAAAGCATTGTCCCCAAAATGGCATAAAGTTTGCTTACGGCCTCAGGCATTAATGTTAAATCATACACTCAAGGGATGGTCAGATCTGGTTGAAAGGGAGGTACTAAAGATGCCTTGGGATCTTCTGATTTTATTATCCCCTGTTCCTTACAATAGAGCTTACAAGGCTGCTTTCATATTTTTTAGCAAATTACTTGTAAGTTGATTTCTCTGCCAGTGAAAATGATCAGATCTCTCAGCTCTGAGTGTGGGATATGCAACAGGGGCAATGTATGTAATTTTGAGGACATCTTAAACACTCACAATGGCTTAATGTATTGTATCAGGATAATGTTGTAAAATCAATTTTGCTGTGAAATGCTTGTTTTGTGCATCCTGGGTTGGGCACCAGGCATATTTCATTACAAACTATTAAAAACATATATCCCCCTCCCCTTTGGATTATCTTTGAAGACAATTGTTTGCAAAAATAGATGCATTTTAATACCCAAGGCTTATTAATTGAATGTGCTCTCTGCTACTGTATGTCTGGTTTTTAGTTAAACAGGCCATTATCAGGTTGTTTGGAATGCTAATAGACAGATTTCTGAAACTGAGTTATAATTGCTGTTCATTAATGGAACACATTTGCTCTTTCATGCCTTTTTATCTTTCATGCATTTAGAGAAAAGGAATAACGTCCCAGAAGTGGAATACTGTGAATGATAGGATAAACATCTTTCCCATGAACACAAACATGTGGTTGTGCTCGGCTGCTGTCATTCAGTGGATTCTCCGCTCGCCATTTGCTTTCCACTGCCTGGCTGTCAGACTAGCCAGTGCCGTTGGTTTCATATTATGATACTTCTTCAACAGATTTCCTTGAAAAGCAACCACTGCTCCTTAAATTCAGACCCATTCTTATCTGTCTATGCTAACGAAAGGGCTTTCCTGGTTATGCACTGAAAGGGGACAGACTTCTAATGTAAGTTCAAAACCACTCTGGGGGTGTGGAATTGGCTTATAATTGTTCACCTGATGATTCTCCTAAGGTTTCTATTTACATTCTTTACCTGCCTGACCATCTTGTTCAAGGGCACAGCTTGCGAATTCTATCCATCTTTTGTTCATAAGGCAGCTTTCACTCCCCCCCACCCGCCGCATGAAAATGCAAGAATGTGTGTTGCACCAGTGTGCTGCCACATGTTTTCACACATGCCCACTTTACTCAATGTCATCCTTTTCAGGGCTCACACATGTGCTCAAGCCACTTTCACTGCAAGTTAGTTGAGCAAACCAGTTTCAAACCCCATGTTTTGGAGATGGCTTTTTTCTTTAATTGACCAGATACTCTGAGTGAGTCTGAGCTGAGATCTGAGGTGGAAAGGAGACATTGCCAGATTGCTACTTTCCCCTCCTGGCACTAAAAGCACTCTGCACCTCTTCCATCCCCCTTTTCTGTAATGATTTTTCTGTAGTAAGGGGAAAAAACAGAAGGCAAAACCTGGGAGGATAACCAGTGAAAGACGAGGTTGTCCGGAGCCCATGTTGAATTCTGTGAGTAATGCAAGGCAGTGGTGTGATAAAAGCCTCATCTGGAATCGCCCACAGAGACAATTAGCTTGTAAGCACAAACAAGCACAGGCTTTGGCCAGCTTTATGCCATGTGGCTCTCGGAATGGCACACCTTGCCCCCTTGTTTGTTTATGTTCATCCTAAAATGGAAGAAAAGCATGCAGGCATTAAGGCATAATGTAGCAGAACCATCAGTTGAAGAGAAGCGTATCTCTAACGGCTCATATCCTCTGTCGTTCTAGCACCAAGTGGGGCTTATGCAAAAGGCAGGGCCTTTTACAAGTAAAAGCTTCACAATACTAAAATTGCAAAGGTGGAAATTCTGCTGTGGTATTAAAGGCAACTGAGTAGCATGGAGCAGGAACTCAAACAGCATTAATTCTCTGCTGCTTGTCCTGGCATGCTTTTTAGTGATGGCTTTTACTTACATTTTAATTGTAAGTGCTATGGGGGCAGGGACCTGGATAATTATGTTTCTCTGTATGCTAATATGTTAGCAGCATGCTATGCATAGGAGTGCTGATATATTAATGATGATTTTGAGCATTGCATTTGGCTCCATTGTTGGGGAAAAGATCCTCTGCTTTGCAGGTACCCTGAACAGCTGTAGACTCTGGCTCTTGGAGCACACACACTCTCTTTCTCTCTCTCTGTCATTCTCTCTGATGCAGCTGTCATTTCTACATCATAAGTTACACTTGAGCTGTCTGCTGCCGGTCAGTGACTAGTTTCAGACACACGGAAACATCGTAGTATATTTTCCATACCTTCCTGGGTCCATTATGCATCTCAGCTAAATAAACACAGTGCAGAGTACTCACTGTGCTAATTTTCTATTTAATTGATACTCCTAGAATACTTAATTTCAAGAACTCATTATCCCCAGATCCTAGTATATTAAACTGTACACCTTTTATCCAGGGATATCAGTTCTATTAACTTGGTTCCAAATCAAATTTAGGCCTTGTCTCTGCTTTTATTCTAATTACCAGGTTTGAGTTTTCAGTAGTATCAAATTTATGTAAGAGGCAATTTACATTTAGACCTGCTTATACCAGAAGTATGCAAACCTTATTTGCTGTGAGGTGGAGGTGGACTTTCAGGAAGATGGGTAGGTTGGGTGGGAAAAGAAGTGCTAAGAGGAAACCACTGCCACCAGCAGTTCGTGTGTTTGATGTACAGTGTCCAGAGGTTTTGTGGAGTAAGAGAGTTTTGTGGGCATTGTGCCTGTGAACGTGTTCTGTAAATATTTATCTGTTGAAGTTGTATTCCACCTCAAGGTGGCTAAGAGTATTAGAACATAGATGGAATACAGAATTAATAGCAAAACGTAATGCAGGTAAATTAAAACCTTAATTTAAAACGTACCAATTAATTGCCTGGTCACTCAGACCCATGCCCTGACTGGTGTCCACTAGAAGGGCCTTCAGTGTGGTGGCCCCATTTGTGTGGAATGTCCTGCTTCTGGGGGTCAGGTTGGTACCAATACTGCGCTGTTCTCAGTTCTTGGTGCCTACATTGGTCCAGGAAGCCTTTACTGCTGACCAGCCAGAGTTGTAACATTATCGTGTTTCCAGTATCTTGGGTATTATCATGGACTGACTCCATAAAGGAAGCCGCGGGCTTGAATTTAGAGCAGCTAAGCAGGGATGCCATGGACAGGACATTCTGGAGGGCTTTGGTTCAAAGGGCTGGCATAAGTCAGAGACAACTCGATGAGCCATTCTCCCCTGTTCTGTGGGTTTGGTCCGCTCCTCATTGTGCCCTACCTATCTTCTGTTTTAATGAAGAGAAAGTCTAAAACCAGTGCCAAAGTTCCGGCACAGGCAGTCTGTTTTCTGCCTTCTTCCTCCTCTGCCGCCTCCTCCAGCTGACCAGTGCTCACTGCTTTAAATTGCAAAATAGGAATTGATTATTAACTTACTTTCTTAATCTCGAGATCCATTTTTCTGCTGTGATTTCATGTATGTATATACATATACATACACCCCATGTATATGCTGGTGTGCATTGGCAATGGGTAAGAAAAAATACTGCACTGTATGTATAATGCAATGCACTGAACAAAGTCTGAAAATCAAAAGCAGGAGGATGTCATAAAATCATAAAGAGAACCCTGAAGCTGGATCAGACCAGGGTCCTTCTGGTCTGGCTTTCTATTCACACGTCACCAGCCAGCTACCCATGGGAAAACCATGAGCAGTACATGGGGGCAACAACCTCTTGCCCATGTTCCCTGACGGCTGGTGTATGTTGACATACTGCCTCTGATATTGGAGTTTGCATAGAGCCATGAGGACTAGTAGCCATTCGTAGTCTTTCTCCTTCCTCCATGTCAGATCAGTAATTCTCACTGACTTCACTCCAGATATGAAGGAAGATATTTTGGAATGCTGAAATCTGAAGGGGTATTTGGGTAGGGGGAATTTTTTAGTGCTTCTGCTTTTGAAAGAGGTTGAGTAGGCTGTTGAGAAGTGTAAGAGCATTTCTAGATTTAGTTTCTTCTCTCATTCAGTCCTGTAGTACAAGATGTAGAACAACCTTTCCGTCTGTGAAGATGCCTTCCGTAAGCAGAAGAGCAGCCTTTGCCAAACACATCAAGCTCAGCCCTTGAAAAAGGTATGCAAAAAATGGTCTGAGCATGCAAAGTCTTTGCTTGTTTCCATTCTGTCACTGTTGCATGGGCTTTCTCACTGTTGCATTTTATTTGGGCATTGATCTGCACATAAAAAGAAAACCTCTGGAAGTGCATATTTTTCATATATATTTGAGAGTCAGAGTGGCCTAGTGGTTAGAGTGTTGGGCTGGAACTCAGGAGACCCAGATTTTAGTCCCTGTTCCACCATGAAACTCACTAGGCAATTCTGGGCCAGCCTCACTGTAACCTGCCTTACCAGGTTGTTGGAGGATAAAATGGAAAGGTCCCTTTGGGCCAGTCACTGGGGTTCCTTGTAGAAAAAAGATGGAATATGAATAAATACGTACATATTTTATAATTCATATTTAAATGTGCATTTTGCTATATTTTAATTGATGAGAACTGCATTGCAACATTCCAAGATGTACAATGTCCACTGGCAGCTCAGATCGAACTGGCACAACTGGATGGGTATGAGTGCTGAGGGCATTTCATATGGGAATCCACAGAAGCTGAATTCCTCAAGCAACCGTAGCTTTTAGGCCTCTTCCTGTTCTTAAACCTAATATTCTTGACAGGTGAGATTCAAGCAGACATATTTTAAAGTTACCATCTTTGCAGGCTTTTCTGACTGTTTTTTCTGTCCCTTCTTGAATAATGGGTGCATGGGTTAGTACAAGCATCTGTGAAACTTGGTAAGAGGATGGGAGATTATTCTGTTATAAACAGTGAAGAACCTTGTAGCACCTTAAAGACTAGAAAATTTATAGTAATGTAAGTGGAATACAGGAATAAATAGGTTCTTCTTCTAAGGTACCACAAAATTCTGTTGCTTTTGCAAAATGGTCTCATATGGCTGCCGCTCTAAACATTGTCTTCTGTTAGCCTAATAATTGTCTTCCCTTCATCTCCTTGTGGTTGCTGTTTGCGGTATCCTTTCTTTATTACTTATTATTCTTTTTGTGCTAAGGTTTTATCTACTGTGTGTGTTGCATCTCCAAGACACCACATGTAAACAAGGTATATATTTTGCTTATTTGGGAAGTTGATAGTGTTTTGCAGACCCATGACAAGTACAGTTGTGTCTAATTGCAGTTGTTGAGTACGGAGGAACTATATATGGGTACCTGGAACCTCAGCGTCAAGAATATCAACTTCTGGAGTTCTTTTCTTTAGGGGATATGAGTAGACCCCTCATTTCAGAAATTTACTTCCCAGGCAGCCAAACAAAACTAGGGGCCACCCTGACAGTGACCAGCTTGGCTCCATCTTGCACACCTTAACTTGCTCCGCCGACTTTCGTGGAGGACAGTCAAGCGCTAAACGGGGGGGCTGCCTCACACAAAGATGTGTTGCATTCACTCTCTTTTAATAAACTTGACTTCTCCTTGACTTGCTTTCTGTTCCACCCATGGTGATAATGGGCATGTTGTTCATCTCTGAGTTAAAAAAAAGTGTTTCCACTCCAGTCTATTAGTATAATCGAGGCTGAAGAAGCATTTTCATTGAGCAACGGCTCAGAGTGGCATTTGTTTCTATGTAGCAATACTCGAGTATGGGAGCCTTAATCAGGCAGCTTGGCTTGTTTCCTAATGTGGTTACATGCATTTCCATAAATATTCTTTAAAATAAAACTAACACTCTCCAAGGCACCAGGGATCCTTCTGTCCATTCTTTCCCCCAAAGAGCCTTCACAGTTCCAAATTACTGAGGTAATGAGCTTTGGTGCTAATAAGAAATTCAAGCCATAATTGAAGTATAGATTGAATTGGTTTCTGTGAATGGTAGCGGAATGCATTGATAATTGCTCGGTCCTGAGAGGCATATTGTGGAGTCCTCCTTCTAAAGTCCTGTGGAGAGTTTGCTCCTGGCAAAAAGCAATCCATGTTCTGGGGGCTGGGGATGCTCAATCCATGCAGCAGACCCTTGTGTTGGCTGGTTGCAGGATTTGCCAATATGGAGACTGTATGTAGTGCTGAGCAGAACTGGAAGGCTGTATTTTATGGGGAAGCAGCATGCTTCAGGTTGCTTTAGCAGTGGGAAAACAGGTCCCTTTCCCTCGCAGTCAACGACTGCATATAGACCTGGAGCAAATGGGTCCAAGACCTTTTTGTGAACATTTGTGTGCAGCTTTTGCAGTGAAAGCTGAACCCCCTGTAAAAATCAGTGCAGCTTTCATTGTGTAGTGCTGGTGGCTCAAAGATACCTGGGAGTAAAAGCAGGGGAGTAGATTCACTCCACTTACCTTGGATATTTTCTTGATGCATTTTGTTGGCCTGTAGCCTGAAAGGGTACAGGTATCTTTTGTCGTATTTCTAAAGCTTTACGCATTAACTTTGGAAGGCTCCAGGGAAACAAGGAGAGTTTTCTTCTCTGTACAAGAATCCATCATGTCTTTGCCTTAGCAATACAAGCTTCATAAGGCTGCAGTGCTGGGTACACTTACTTGGGAGTACATGCCACTGAACACAGTAGCACTGACTCCTGAAAATATGCACTGGATTGCACAGAAAAGCTTACTAAGCTATTGAGGCTGATGCTAGCTACACTGAAAATGTAAAGCATAGACCCATAGGTCACAGATACACATGTGCTGGTTTCTTTGTATAGAGGCAGATTTGGAAATCATTACAGTTGCACAGAGAGTAAGCCAATTCATTTCCTGACCAAATCATCCAAAATAAAATGCTTCAGTTAATTTGCACCATACTCCAGTTCACCCAAGTCAGTGCTTCAGTTAATTTTACCTCTGTCCTACCCTGATGATGCAGATCTTGCTTCAAAATAATTTCTCCTCTCTTACCCTACTAACTAAGCATCACACTCTTCCTCCTCCTAAATTAAATGACATTAAATGCAAACTGAACAGCACAATTCCCTTTGGGTGGTGGAAAGGTTGGAGGATTATTGCAATGGCAGGAAGTAGCTGGCGGGTGGTCATTCCCCATCTGCTTCTTCTTTGCTTAAACCAAAGACAAGCTGATAACTCGGTTTGGATGGCCCCGGCAGTGAGGAAAGTGGCATGTCCGTTTGTTCCTGAAAGGACTTGGTGGGGAACCAGAAACGGCTGCTCATAAGTGAAGGATTTGAAACAGGCAGCCAGTTCCTCCAGCACCTGTGCTGTGCTCCTTGGAAAGAAAGTGGAAACAGACGTGTTTCTGTTAACTTCCAATTGGCAGGGTGGTAGCAGTGAAGCTCAGCTCAGCTCAGCTCAGCTCAGCTCAGCTCAGCTCAGCTGCAGGCTCAAGAGCAGAACCAGAGCCATGCTAGATCAGAGCAGGCATCCATCTCATCCAGCCTTCTGTCCACAGTGTGGCCAATCAGATGCATGTGAGAAGCACCCAGGCAAGATCCTCTTGTGCAGGGTCAGTATCCTATCTCTCATCGGGCCATCCTTGTTCATAGCTACAGTGATGAGACATATGAAAAAGGTAAGCCATATGATTTGGCTGTGGCCACTTGGGAGAAACTGGTGACGGTGGCATCTTTTTCTTCTTAGTCTTTTGGTGATTTTGTCCTGCTTACATTCACGGTACATTTAGTTTGTCCAGGTGTGTGGTGTAAACACCTTTCAGAAATATATGCATCAGTGGTATGTAATTTTTTTCTTAAAATAAATTTATTTATTTTTTGTAGCAAGGGGAGGGTTCACCTTTGCAAATACAGAACGGTAAGTTCTTTTCTGCCTCCTCCTGCATACTTCAATTACCAGGTGTGCAGTGTACGTAGGCAAGTAATCTTGTAATTAAGTTGACACTCTTGTGACCTGTATGAGGGAATAGCAAAGTTTAGACTATTTTGAAGGTGAATACAGCCCACACAATTCTAGGACGCTTATATATTGCACTTTGAATGTCACCTTCTGTGCAAACAATCTCTAGGAAAACTCCAATGTTAATGTTACATATAGCTAAAACAGCATTTAGTAGGGTTTTGAATGGTAACCTTCATATAAGAATTCCTTGAGGGGTTTCTTCATTGGGATTTAAAAAGGTCTATCCCCTGCTGAAGTCCTTTGTATATGTACCACATGTATATGTGTGAGCAGAATTAAACTACCGGTTCTAATTATACAACAGATTTCTTGCTGCACTTTGAACGTAGAACAACATGACTGCGGGTGTGGAGTTTTAATGCAAATCTCAGATTGGTGCTTTCTTAATGAAAGGAAGTGGGGGGTGGTTTGAGGTGATATTATCTTGATTATTTCAGGCTTGTTTAATGTGGAAGATGTCAGAGCGAACTTCTGAAGAACCTGCTTGGTATTGCATCCGTAATGGCACTGCAGATGCAGCTTGAAGGACTGCAATGCTGTTTCGTGCTTCTCTGCTCTGGGTATGCACATCTGGTGCAAGCTTGTGGTCAGTCCATAAGGTACTAGCTAGGCATAGAGATGGAGAAGGGCTGAGTTAATGGATGGGAGTCAGGCCCAGGCCTTCAGTCCCCCCCAGTGTGCATGCAGGTGGGAGAAAGAGGTAAAACCTGCCTCTATTGATGTCTATTGGGATATTGCGCAGGTGCTGCACTTGCAGGGCAAGTGGATTGTGGCCATTGGGTCTTGGACCAGAAAGTTGTCAGATACCTGAAAGCCTCCACATGCAATGAGAGCTATGTGCTCACAGTCCAGTTTGTCAGTCTGAATTCATGAGTTTAAAAAAAACCTTGGGGAAGCTATGCTGCACTTGAGGCATGCAATCTAAAATAATTGTCTACCTGTAGATTAATCTATTAAATAGGCACACTTTTTATTTCTTCCTCACTGAAGATGAGCCAAAAGGAGAGCCACAGATAGTTGTCCAAGGAGCAGTACTTGTTTGGTGCGCAAGCTTGACAATACCTAATTGTTCATTGTTCTACTGTATCAACAAAGCATGGCTTCCCACCATGAGAATTAGGGTTGTGAGCCTTGGCGGCATGCATAGGGATGACTGAGAACGTTGTTTCATTTTTACATCAGAATTGACCAATATCCACACAATTC